CCAGTTCTTGATCAAACTGGCCCAAATCCAGCTGCTAGTCAAAAATACGAAACATCCATTTAATCAGTTCTGAATGTTAAGTCAACACTTGTGTAAATCTCTCCCCACCCACCCACCTTAGTTTCACAGGAACAATTATTCACCCACCAAAATGGGCAAGGGTACATTTGTTGACTTTTGGAGGTGAGTGGAGCTTGGGGAAATTACCAAAGCCATCATGTTTATTGTCCATGGTGGTTAGAGGATCAGTTCAAAAAGGTAACTTTTCTGTTATTATTAACTGCCCTGAATCATAGGGACTCTGTGGATGAGACACCTCCAAACCCCCCTGTCCTCCATTGCTCAGTATAGGCCCTGCAAATTCAGGCCTGTGACCTCCCTCTATCCATCTGGCATGTGGTTCTCCTCTCTTTCTACTACCTTCCACCTTTATTGCCTTATTGTCTTTTCTAATTAGTTATATCTTCTCATGATGTGAACAAAGTATGACAGGCTCAGTTTGATCATCTTGGCTTGATTTCAGACTTGTTCTAGGACCCATTTGTTCACCTTTTGGGTTTCAATAGTATCCTCAGAACTCTTCTCCAGCACTACATCTGAAATGAATTGGTTTTCTTCTTATCCGCCATTTTCACTGTCCAGCTCTCTCATCCATACATGGTGATGTGGAATACATTAGCTTGGACAGTTCTGACTTTAATGCTCAGATGTGTATCTGTATACTTTGGGACAGGGGTCCCCACACTTTTTGAGCCAGGGGCTGGTTCGCTGGCCCCCAGATCATTGGGGGGGGTGGAGGCATGCAAATGCGCACTACTCGGATGCCATTTTGTGTTCCAAAATGGCGATTGGAGTAGTGTGCATGCGCGCGTGACACCGGGCGCATGCACACGACTCTGGGTGCCATTTTGGAACATGCATGCACGCTACTCTGGCACCGTTTTGTGTTCCAAAATGGTGCCCCACGTCATGCAGTGGCAGTGGCAGGACCGGCCGCGAGCCAATTCAAAGGCCTTGACGGGCCAGGTTCAGCCCACAGGCCGTAGTTTGGGGACCCCTGCTTTAGGATCTTGTCTAGTTATTTCATGGCTGCCCTTCCCATTCCTAGTCTTCTTATTTGGAGTCAGCTTGAAGAAACACAGCAACAATTATTAAAAGATAACATAGATTTAAAAACACACCAGCAAAAGAGAGGACAGTATCCATCCATTTAAGAGTTCCATCCAGAGCAACCTTGTTCAATCATCAAATGGTTGTCTGACAATATATTCCCTTTGCTTACATCTGCCTTCCAAGTAGAATATATGATTGCAGTGCCCATGTGCTTCCCACAGCTGCCCTCTTGGACTGTTTTCAGATTTTAATAATTTGGATGTGCAGTTATCTTTGATTCACTGCTATCAACCAACTCAGTAATCAAAACTGAGAGGATATAAATTCCTCAACAGAGAATTTGAACAAATGGATATGCAGGAAGTATAGGTGTGTGTTTTATGGGATGCAGATGTCAGTATATGATTCAGGCATATTTCTACATCTGCATTTAGAAGGCAATTAATAGAGTCATAACATGCATTTAAAACTGCTCAATGATCTCATCCTGATCGTGCACTAAATGTTTAAAAAAAAAACACCTAAGGGCTGGTAGGAGAGCAATGTACAAATTAGAGAAGACTGATTGTATGTCAAGCTGCCTTATAGAAGGTGGGACAAGTTTGTTTTCTACTACCCCAGACGTGAGAGCAAGTCTACACCACCAGAATATTCCAAGGTCCTCCCAGAGTATTCTGGCCCCAATGCTGCCCCAAATTCCCCCCATTACCTCCACAATTTGGTGGCAACACTGGGTGGCTGTCTACACATGTGTCCTGCTGTGCCATCCAGTGATGCTGCTGCTCATGGACGTTGCTCCCTCTGAGGTGAAAAATGAGGTGCTGGCTTCAATCACATGGCTGGACACTTCATTGTGATTTCCAAGGGAGCAACTCATGCCAACGGTGACAGAGCTGTGTGGCACAGTGGAACACTATATAAACAGCCACCTGGCATCATTACAAAGTGCTCCAGCATTTCTTGGAAAATCCAGAGCCAAAGTTAAGTCTTTTTAATGTAGTTTAAGGCAGAGATGGTCCAGATTCAATGCTGAAATGGCTTCATGTCATGAAGATGGTCTGCAGTCGAATGAGGCTTTTGGCTCTGGAGTTTATCACACAGGAGACACAGCATTCTCCTCCCATCATTAAATCAAATTTAAATCATCCTAATCGTGCAATTGAGGTTCACACCCCCACACTTTTCTCTCATCCTTCTTCCATATTTAAAGGATAATGGAGACCTCCCCCCATACTTGTCTCATCAGAAAAGTGTAGTGGAGCTGTCATTTGGTGTTAATGGGAACTTCTGCTATTATCAAATGACAGCTCCATTGCGCTTTTCTTATAGGCCAAGCATGTGAGAATGGCTCCATTACACTTTAAACACAGAAGGAGGGAAGAAAAATGTGGGGGTGTAAACCTCAATTGCGTGATTAGAATGATTTAAATTTGATTTAATGATGGGAGGAGGACGCTAAGCCTCCCGTGTGATAAACTTCACAATGTTGAGAGAAAACAGGTTGCTGTGAGGGTGGGAGAAAACCAGGTTCCTATGGCCCAGGGTGAGCAGGCATCCTTCTTTTCCAGGTCATACCCTACATTTCAACCTTTTGTCCAAGAGGAACTTCAAAATGTCCTCCATTTTTAGCATGACTAAGAAGCAAGCAATGTCCTGACAGTAAGCCGTTCGACAGTGGAATGCACTCCCTTGGAGAGTGGTAGAGTCTCCTTCTTTGGAGGTTTTTAAACAGAGATGGAACAGGTATCTATCAGGGGTATTTTGATTGTTTCTTCCTGCATTGCACGGGATTGTATTTGATGGCCCTTGGGCTCTCTTCCAACACAATGATTCTATGTCTTCCATTTTTCTTGAATTGCCTACATTTTGCGGTGTCTTGTCTTCCTTTGCAGTTGTGACATCTGGTCACTCTGCTTTGTAGACACGTCCTAGGACGTGAGCCCAACAATTCAAATTACAAGAGAAGAGATTCCACCTAAACATTAGGAAGAACAGCCTGGTGTAAAACCTGTTCAACAATGGAATAAAATGGCTCAGTGGTTGGAGGACTGTCCTCCTTTGGAGGTCTTTGAACAAAGGTTGGATGGCCTTCTCTCAGGAGTGCCTGAGGGGGGATGCAGACGGGTGGCCCTGGGCCATCCCAGGAAGCAGAGGATCAAGGCTGAGGTTGGCCCTGATTCTCCCTTTCGCCACCTGCAAAAGGAGCTCTAAAATAGCGCTCCTTCCTCAAGCCTCAAAAGGGGTGCCGCAAAAGGCGTGGTGTGCCTTCTTTGGCATCTCTTCCAGCTCAGCGTGTGCAGACGCTGAGCCAGAAGGACATCATCAGAGCGTCCGTCGTGTGGACGGGCCGTCACTTCAATGACGTCTTCAGGAAGGTGATGGGGCACCCAGTGTCTGGCTACCCCTCCCCTTCCTGGGATTGAAGATGGCGCTTTTCCACATGTGATGGGATAGACTTGAGACTCCTTCCAATTCTATGATGACAAAAGCAGTCTCTTTGATCTGATCATTCCCCTGAACCAATTTAGATCTTTAACCCTGTGCCCCAATCTGTCCAAAAAGGTTGTGCCAGTACCTGCAATGGCTTAATTTATCCTATTTCCAGTTTCAATGACCTCTCTAAAGCATTTTGAGTCTGAGAGTTGGTTATGACGGAGAGCTCCTAAAATGGTTCCAAGGCCACCTGCAGTTTGAAAGTCTCTTTCTCTGTGTGCAGAGGGGGACTCTAAAAGGTCAAAGAAGTCATCCATACCATTATGTGAATCACCATCCTGCCTTCAATTCGAGCTCTGAGTGAGGGTTTGTGCCTGGTTATTTTCTCTGAACCAATTTGACAATCGCTACATGTAGGCTTGCTGACAATTGATAGCCCAATAAGCCTCCGAACAGCATGGGTTCTTGATCTCCAGAACAACCTGGAGGGAGAAAAAGAGAGCGAGGCTCTCTCAGCAGGTGGCAAAACCACTTTGCCAGGCCTCTCTCTAATTGCCCTGGCACCCAGCAAGACTAATAGGGTGAGATTTTTCTCCTGCCTCCCTGAAGAAGAATTTGACTGAAGAGACATTAAAGCAACAAACAAAACAAAAAAACCCACCTTATTTTCTCTTTTCAAACACTTGCTGCCAAAAGTTTCTTTTTCTTTCTCTCTTCTCTACACCCCCTTCCTCTATTTTGCCCTTGACCTTACTTTGTCAGATGTGGCACAAAGATTATTGCTCAAATCAAAAACTCCTGCTTTGCCCAGAGAAAGACGCCACAGCATGCTTTATCTCCTTAGTGATGAGCTTCAAAGGGCTTGAACCCGTAAATCAAAAATAATCAAATACCAACTGGCTTTGGAGTAAGCTTTGGGCTAAACAATTTTTTGGAAGTGGAAGGAAAGCTGAAGTGTAACTCTGCAGAAATAAAAAAAAATACTGGCTCAGATTCATTACAGGTACAGACCCAATGAATACCGCAATCAAATGGAACCTGGAGTGAAAGTTACTCTGGGTGTATCCACATTGCAGAATTAAAGCAGTGTGACACCACTTTAATTGTGATGACTCTATCCTAGAGAATCCTGGGATTTAGAATTTGGTGAGGCACCAGAACTCTCTAATAGACCAGGCTAAATCAATTACCAAACTACAGGTCCCAGGATCCTGTAGGATAGAGTCATGGCAGGTAAAGTGGAGTAAAACTGCTTTAATTCTGCAGTGTGGATACGCCCTCTGCCCCTTGCACATTTTGATAATGCAGTTGTATTTCTCCTTTTGAAACTGTTTAATCATTCACCTATTTCTAGCATTTATACCCCATTCTACAACTGGAAAGGCTTTCAATGTGGCTTTTTGTATCAGTTCAAAAATAGAGAAGACAAGATAAGACCTGATTGTGTCTTTTTAACCAGGGTGGTGTAGTGGTTTGAGTGTTGGATTACAACTCTGGAGACCAGGGATTGAATCCCTGCTTGGCCATGAAAACCTACTAGGTGACCTTGGGCAAGTTACACTTTCTCAGTCTCAGAGGATGACAGTGGCAAACCTCCTCTAAAGAAGTTTGCCAAGAAAACTCCATGATAGATTCACCTTAGAGTTATCATAATAGCAATAGCAATAGCAAGTACATTTCTATACTGCTTATCAGTGCACTTAAACACTTCCTAAGTGATTTACAAAGTGTAAGTTAATTGCCCCCACCAAGCTGGGTACTCATTTTAGTGTCCTCAGAAGGATTCAAGCCTAAGTCGACCCTGAGCTCCTGGCTGGTATTGAACTCACAACCTTATGGTTTGTGTGTGAATGGCTGCAGTACAGGCATTCAACCATCTCACCACCAAGGCTCTCATTTGGAAATGACTTGAAGGAACACAACAAATGACACCAAAAAAAGTGGGGGGTGAAGAGAGGAAAGGAAAATTTCCTGATATCAGGAATTCAGCATGATGACTCCTGCCTCTTAAACCCTTATGGTGGCTTAAATCATAATTTCCCATGTTCTTATGGCAGTTAAGACGGTGTCAAACTGCATTGTTTCTGCACTGGAGATACAACCTAGGAAAGTAAACTGTTAATACTAGCAGCCTAGTGTAGAACACGTGCTTCTGACCAACAAGTTGACTTGACTACTACATTCCTTGCAGCATTTTAGTTAGTTATTTCAGTGATTTATATCCTTCCTTTCTCCCATAATGGGAGACCTTCCTTCTGTCACACTGTATTTTCTCCCCAACATACCACTTAGCAGGAATTCTTGCTCATAGCTGCTCTTTAGTCTTATTACAGCCAAATGCTGTATCATTATTGTCATCATCACCATGATGTTTGTACAGAGCCTGAAATAGTTATCTTAGGAAGAGAGGGAACCAGTAGTGTCTCAAATGTCCCTGAAGAGGTGAATCCACTGTGGAGTTTAGCCTAAACTTGCAAGGAGATAGCCAAGATTCTGAATTTGTTTTGAGGATGGGATAAAGCAACTTGGAAATCTCCTTTTAAGTTCAAACTAAAAACCAGAACAGATTCTTCCTGCTGCATTGTAATGGTACAAATGTGAAACTGCTTCCTGTGCATGTGTTTCCAGATTTGCTTTATATACTTGCTCATCTCATCAACATATAACATTTATAACTGCTCATCTGTGTAACTTAATGGTTTTAGTCAGCCATCAATAAATAGACTTAACTTTAAAAAAAAAAACAAAAAACAAATTCATTGTTGCCTCAGTGCCAGGGATTTTTGGGAACTGCAGTCCAAAAAAACACCATTTCTTAAAGCTGCATCTTTGATATGAATATGAACTGAATTTGACACAACCATCAATAATATCCATCTGTACTGTTGGAAAATTTATGAATTGTATTTTCCTTTCCCTCCTTATATTAGACAGGAAATTCCCTCTCTCCTGTCACTCATTCTTAAAGGGTTGTTTAACTAACTCTCTGAAGATTCTAAATTGTCAATAAGCTGCCAATATATAGAGAGATTTTGTAGCACCTCTGATACTAACTGTGAGAAAAAGATGTTTGTAGCATTAGCTTTCATAGACTGTAGTCTACTTCTTCAGATACTTATGGTGGAGTGGAAGCCAGGAACAGAAAGGAGTGCAGGAAGAAAACTGAAAGGGATTTTAGCTACTGCAGAACCAGTCAGCATGAGTAGAACCCATGAGCTCTATGTGATACGTAGTTTTGCAAAGGGATCCCCATGTGTAGGTCGCCAGGAATGACATCCCATTGCTTGCACTTGTTGAAAAAGAAGATATCTGTCTGTATCTGGGCAGGTTTTTTGAAGAGGTTGATGGATTTTCCACTTCATTTGGCTAAATGTGGTGCTTTCCATAGTGGTAGAATTTAAAGACATAGCCATGTTAGTCTGTAGAATTAATATATAGAGAGATTTTGTAGCGCCTTGGAGACTAATTGGAAAAAAAAGATGTTGGTAGCATTAGCTTTCATAGACTTTAGTCTACTTCTTGAGATGCTTATGCTGGAGTGGAAGCCAGGAACAGACAGGAGTGCAGGAGTTTAACTAAGGGGGGAAGCAGACCAGGGCGTCGGGGACGCCCTGGGACGGTGTGTCGCGGGACCGCGGCAGCCGCACCGCGGCGCACCGTCAACGCCTCTGAAAGGAGTGCGACAGGACCTGGCAGCGACGGGGATGGCACCGCTTCAGACCCCCATGTGGTAAGGTCCATACTTGCATTAGTTTACCTTTAAAAGTGTTAACACCCTGGGAAACTAAAATTGCACCCCACATGTATAATGTACTGTGTTGTTGCTGATAAGTGAATCATACCCTACACATGCACACACACACAAAAATTTAGGACAAGCTCTGCCATCTGCAGCTGTTTTCTGCGTCTGGTTTGCTTCCCATTGTTCCATTTCAATACTATTTGTATGCCTCTTGCTTCAAGCAGAAATTAATGAAACCATTAAAAAATAATAATCTGCTTCATGTGAACATCTTCACTGGCTGTGACAGCAGCTTGCTAATGCCTAATTTGATATATTTTTATTGCATGCATGCATGCAGGTGTCACACAATGTACAAGAAGGCACCAGGGCTAGAAGGAACATTTGTACTTTATTAAACACGAGAATTACTAGGTGTATTCTTACCACTCTCTCTGTTTTCCAGTTGGGGCTTCATATAATTCAATGCTGCCAATGAGTCTGGGCCTGGGGCTTAGGGATAGATCTACCATATTTAAAATTTGGAAGGTATTTTCTGA